TTTTTAATTATGTTGACAGTTACGTCTTTAAATTAATTATAATAACATGTTATATGTATGTGTGTTTGTTTGCAGCGATCTTTTAATATTGATGATCGTAGGAGAAAATATTGTATTCAATTGGCCAAAAAACGCTTGAGGGGATTTAGAGCGTTTTTAACAAACAAGTTTCTTAAAGATTCTGATGGAAACTTTGTTGACTCGGAGCGTTCAATGAAGTACGCGGATTTGATTTCGGATGAAGAATGGGAGACATTTGTTGCAAAGCGAAGAACAAAAGAATTTGAAGTAAGTACAACTTATCATGAACTATGTATAGTATATATACTTCTTCCACAAGAGTTCTGATAAACTTGTTTTTTTAGGTTGTTAGTGGCGTAAATCGTCAACGGGCATCAAAACCCGCATATCCATACAGAAAGGGGCGTTTGAGATATGCACGCTTAGAACAAAAAATAGTAAGTACATATAAATGCTTTAATATGATATATTTACAAAAAATAGTAAGTATATATAATAGGATATAATTCTTTATCATCCTTCTTAATGCGTAGTTGAAAGAGGAGAAAAGTGATGCGACATCTCTTCCGGACCATGTTGTATGGAAGGCTGTCCGTGTGGGAAGAGATGGAGCCGTTCAGGAAGAAGTTCAACAAGTATTTGAACAATGTGTAAGTACAACGTTATCTTTGTCAGTAACTGATCAAAAGTTTATAATATATTTATATATGCTTTTATCTATATTTCAGGAGACTCTATCCCAGACTATAACTCCCGCTGAGGACGATGATTGCAGGAGCTTACTGAGTCGGGTGTTGAATATTCCTGAGTATTCTGGGCGTGTGAGGGGTAAGGGATTTGGTGTCACTCCATCCAAACTGTATAAGCAGCCAAAGAAAAAAATCCAACCAATAAAGAAGTGATGGATACTTTGGAGGAATTGAAAGCGCAGATTCGTGAATTACAGAAGGACAAGGAGAGATACATGTCGGAAAGGCGCGCTCTAGAGGGTAAAGCTACTAGTGACAAAGATAGTATCGGTTGTCCGCAGAAGCTTCCAGAGGTAATTGTATATATTACATTGAAATTAATTTAGCACAGTTTACTTAATTGACACATTAACTGATCATTATTTGTTTAGGACATTTCACATTGCCGGCTATATTTATCGTCACCGACTCATCGAATGGTTGGCAAGGGAAAGATGCATAACACTCTGGGAGACTTACTTCACCACAAACCGCTCCCTTCTGGATTTTTGAAAGTATCTATTGATATTGCGTTAGAGGGGGTGCGTTGTTGCTTATACCAGATGCTGTTTCAGGCGCAACAGTGGTGGGAGACGCAATAGGAGCGTATGTGGCATGACCGACAAATCTCATTTGCATAGATGATGAGGTAGGTTGAACCTTTTAATATTCAAATGTTTTATGATCCATACATGAAAGTTATTCTTACATTTACATTTTCTTATTTACATGATGATCTTAGACTCCTACAAAATCCAAATCAAAAGATGATAGAATTATTGTGCGGGATACTGATTCAGCTGCATCAAAGAAACAGGTACTACTACAGTTACATGATTATCTTATTATACATTAATTACTGAACTTATATATGACTTTTAGGTTCATGATCAGCAGTCGCAACAAGTCAATAAGGGTAAGATGCCTGAAACTTCCAAGGTGCCCAGAAAAGTATTTGTTCCTCGATTTAGGATGTGCCTTGAAACATATGTGGGAACATCAGATGTGCCTGAGGGTGGCATCCGTCAAATACATATGGACGAAGGTATTTTCGGTTTTGAATATCCCGAAACAATTGCTAAGGAGGATTTTGACCAGGTTTTCAAACATTCTGAATTGGGCGTCGGTGTTATGCATTCCTACATCAGGTACTTCGATCCATTTTAATTAAATAATTGAACATTTTAAAATTTGCTCTTTTAACTGAATATTCTAATGTTGATTATGTTTTTTTAGGCTCTTGTATGACAAGTTATTGGTCCCGAATGATTTGACTTCAGTATTCGCATTCTTATCTGCTAGCTGTGTCAACTCACGGACAATAGACCAGACACCAGATGCAGTCAAAGAGTACACAATGCAGAGATTTATAGGCGCGACTACGGAAAAGTTGTTCTTGTTGCCATATAATACTGGCCATGGGTTAGATTTTATTCTAAATTCATTTATTATAATTGTTCGATTTTTGCCTTTCTATATAATATTTCCTTCTAAACTGTTATCTTATTTTATAGTGGACACTGGTTGTTGGTCGCGATTAATCCAAGGAAAGAAATAGTGTATTATATAGATTCATTGGATAACAATGCAACAAAATATGAAAATCTAAGGAACATGGTTGATACGTAAGTGATGAGATATACTGTTCTGAATAATTATATATCTTTATTTATTATGTGACATTGTTCTAAATATGCGTTTATATTATGTTAGAGTTATACAAATATTCAGAGCACAAAGAGATGCAACGGTGCCAAAAAGCAAGGCTAACAATATCAACTGGATCAGAGTGGAGGTATATTTTCCCATGTTTGACTGTTATAGTGGTTCTACTTGATAAAACTATTTAAACTATATATCCTGATAAATGTTCATTTGTTTTTTCCATTTACAGTGTCCTCGTCAGCGCAATGGGACTGACTGCGGATATTTTGTATTGTGCTTTATGAAGGAAATTATTCTTTCTGGTCAAATAGAGGTTCCAATTATGGTATGGATCAATTCATAAGTTATATGATTCATTTTGATAATTATCCGATACTTCATTTGAGTAATTAGTTTTAAAATTAAATCTTGCATGTTCTGTTATATTATGTAGTATTTTGATGAATTCAAGTGCGCTACTTACTCGAAAGCAAGATTGGAAGAAATTAAAGAGGAATGGTGTCAATTTATTCTTGAGTTGAGAATTGTATAAAGTTATCGGATTGGAAGAATTGTAATTATATGTAAATTGATTGTATTTGTGATGTAATTCTGAGGATCGAATTTTGTTGTAACATATTTAAGCAGGTTTATGTGTATTAAAATGATTATGGGCAAAGTGATGAGTTACAATGTATAGTTAAAGGCCAAAGTTTTGAATTGTATATATAAGGCTAAAGTTTTGAATTGTATATATAAGGCCAAAGTGTTGAAATAAATGCCTGAATTATAAGTAGGTTTGTGTAATATAAACAGGTTGTTGGTAAATATACAAAACAACGTGATTATTTAAAAAAAAAATTTTAAATCTGGGACATTAGACAGCGCTTTTACAAAAAAGCGCTGCTAAAGGTTACAAACATAACGCTATAAAAGCGTTGCTATAGATTGGGAGGGGGGGTCTAAGACAGCGCTTCTAAAAAGCGCTGCTAAAGGGGGGGGGGCTATGACAGCGCTTTGTAAAAGCGCCGCTAAAGGTGGGGTCTAAGACAGCGCTTTGTGAAAGCGCTGCTAAAGGGGTGGAGGGTTGGGGGAATAGGCAGCGCTTATAAAAGCGCTGCTATAGGGTGAAAAAGGCGCTGCTAAAAGCGTTGCTGAAGGGATCATTTAGCAGCGCTTTTTGTTTAAAAAAAGCGATGCCTTTACCTTTAGCAGCGCCACTTTTGGCAGCGCTGCTAAAGGCCAAAAAAAGCGCTGCTAAAGGTCTTTTTTGACATAGTGAGTAACATTCATAACAAAGTCCCCAAGATACCGTTTACATGTCGAAAGGGCAAAAAATAGTATTTGGCATAAGAGATTCAACTATAGGTTATGATATTTGCGATAGCAAATAAGAATTGATAGATAGAATACATACGTTTCTATTTTGTAGTTTTGTGTTTAAAAAGAAATAGAAGAGTGTTACGAATATAGGACCCTCGAGATACTCTTTATACGCCGAAAACATGTAAATGATATCCGATTTAAGAATTCAAACTATTGATTTAGATATTATGAAATCATCTCTAAATTAATCAAGAAGTTTCTTCTCATTGGTAAAATATTTTTAAACCTAAAAAGTGAGTTGAGAAACATGAGCACAAGGAGTATTGGTGTTTTTAAATGAAACCAATAGAACTCAACTCTAACTCAACTCGCGTGTTATAAAAGTAATCAAAATAACACTCACCTTGCTACTTCACTCGCTTCATTCTGTTGCTGCCATCGTTTCGTTCATCACCTCTTTCACAGGTTTCTTCTCTTTCTTTCCCTTTCTCCTTCTATCTTGTTGCATTATCAATCATCATCATCATTACTTTATTTCTTTCGCTATTATCATGTATATATACTTGTTCTTCCTTTCAAAACCTCTAACATTAACAAACTAATACTATTCATCAACGTTCTTCTTCTCTTATATTATGCTATGTTATGTATGTAATAACATCATAGATAGTCACAAACAAACGTTTATTTTTATTGATTTATTGCTTGTAAATTGTGTGCGTGTGATCAATCTTAATCTTCCTGCTCTTCATCTATCAATGTGCTTTTTGTTTTCTCTTTTCCTTATTCATTCTCAACATGCAATTAAGGGCTTTTCACTCTCATCGTCTAGGGTTCATTATCTTGTTTTCTTTGTACGTTTTCCCTAAATCATTGTTGAAATATATTTATTTATATTCAACCTGTCTCAACAATACTCACACTGCTCAAGTCAGGGTTTTCATGTTCTAGCTCCTATTCGCAATTTTGTACTCTAAGCTTTCTTCTGTTTTAGGTTCCTTAGGGATAGTTGAATGAATATTGGATAATAATACTTATGAAATATTAATTCTTTCAATCATTAGAGTTTATGATGGTTTGAAAAGCCTGTGGCCTGTTAAATATCAGTAGGTTTTGGTTAACGCTCTCGATTACTATTATTTATGGTTAGTTATAACTCATGTTTGATATAAGATCCTTCATGATTTTGTCTAATCTACATGTCCTATATCACATTTCTTCTTAACCCTTAATCTCAGTTTATACTTAACAACCTTATTTTTCGTATTTTTCTTCACAGATATGGTGTCTTTAGACGAGAAGGAAGGCCCGAGTCCCAAAATAGGTCCTGACCACCAGGCGGAAATTCTTTCAAATTCAGACCAGCTTTCACTTCAAATGCATCCTGCTTATTCAGAAGAAGATGTGTATGATGAATCACTTTCTCCTTCAATTTGTTTACCCATCTCAGTCACATGGAGTGAAGCTGATGCAGAAAGTTTCGTACTCGGTTTGTTTATTTTTGGGAAGAATTTTACTCTGATAAAAAAGTTCTTAGAGAACAAAGGGATGGGAGAAATACTCTCATTTTACTATGGAAACTTTTACAAGTCGGATGGATATCATAGATGGTCGGAGTGCAGGAAGTTAAAAGGGAGAAAGCGTATGATAGCGAAGAGACTTTCTACTAAAATGAGGCAAAATGATCTATTGTCTCGCTTGAATCCTCATGTCTCCAAAGAATCACAAGATACTTTGTCCCAGGTATTCAACTCTGCAATCTCATCTCTTCATGTTTAATCCTCCATGCTACATGGAGCATCTTGTTTCTTTAATGTTACATGTTCTGTGCATTTGATACAATGGTAATTGCGATGGATTGCTGAGGAAGTCATCATTTTTTTATGATTTACCATGATGATTTGAAACCTCTATGTTCGTTATCATGAGTTTCAGTCCTCACTTTGCTTGTATTTATACTCAGGTTTCTAAGTCATATATGAAGGGAAGAACTTGTCTAGAAAAATACATATCTTCTATGAAGTCTATTGTTGGACTTGGCGTTCTTGCGGAAGCAGTAGGTATTGGTAAGGAGAACGGAGTCATTACTCGGTTTGATTTGGAACCTAGGAAGAGCAGTTGTGAGGAAATTTCTGCACCAGCTTGCAAAGCTTTGTCTTCTCTTGGACCGGATGAAATAATACGATCTTTGACAGGAGGATGTCGGCTGAACAAAACCAGACGTAATGAGCTTTTCTGGGAAGCTGTTTGGCCCCGCTTACTGGCAAGAGGTTGGCACTCTGAGCTGCCAAAGAATCAAGATTATCTAGTTTTTCTTATTCCCGGCGTTTACAAGTTTTCTTGGAGAAAACATTTGAAAGGGCAACATTACTTTGATTCTGTTAAGGATGTCTTGAGCAAAGTAGTAGCTGAACCAAATATTATTGTGCTTGAAGAAGAATTTGAAGAAGGAGGATCAAACGAAGATGATTTCTCTGATGATCATCTTCAATGTTACCTCAAGCCTCGATCTTCTACAAGTTTGGTGCATAGCGGAAAGCCGTTAGATATAAGGGAAATGAAATATGTTCCGTCTAATAAAGTGCATATAGTTGAGGTAGATGTAGATGGTAAAAGATATAAAGGGAACACATATAGTAGGAGAGTAAACCATAGCAAGGATATGCTTAAAAGCATTACACAGAGATCAACAAAGTTATCATCTATTGATACCAATAGACTTCCTGAAAGAAAACTATTGAAGGTGAAACAAAAGAGATATCCGCCTGTTGAATTGAAAGATGCTTCTACGATGACTACCAATCTTCTAAGTGATAGTAATGGTGGCTCTTCAATTGATGATTCAACAAGGATGGTGGTATCTAAGATTCTGATATATGGCAGAAAGAAAACTGATAGTTTCTTTGGTGTATCTAACAGTGGAGTCTCCGATAAAAAAGAACCACATGATGATAATCATGATAATGACGTAAACAAGATGGTCGAAAGCCAGAAAAATCAACACACCTGCTTGTTTGATGATAGTCAACTGAAGAGGATCATAAAGCATCATCAGTTCAATTGGAGTGTAAGATCAGGTGATTCTAATCAAGCCGCAGTTCCTACCAAAAGGAGGAGGTTGACTGCTTGTGCCAAGGCAGAGAATAACCGCGTCATTCAGAATTTTTCAGGAGGTTTGGGATCAGATAAAGCTAGCTTTCTAGATGCTAACCAAAATGTTTGTGATCCAGTTAGCCACCAGCATAATGGAAGTTCAACGGCTTCATCAGAAGACAGAAGTAGCAGTCGCAACGACAGTTTTCAATGCACAAGTGTTTCTTGTGTTGAAATTGAGAAATCTGTGTCTTTCACCTTCCGCATACAGGCTGATGTAAATCCAAAGAGACAAAGCAGCAGAAACAGCAAATTGACAGTTAAAGCATTCGAAAGTTTAGCAAATGAATTCTGGCATGTGGCAAAGAGACAGAAAAAGGATGACATTCCGACACACATAGATATTTTCCATCCTTGCCGCAAGGCTCGCACAAGAGGCAAAACAAGGCCGCGTCGTAACATTGTTTTTCAACATTTAAATGGAGATGGAAGTGTTAGCTAAATATCTGCATACTGTTATGCTTTATTTACTTTATAGCTCAATGTCACACAAATGACTGAATGTTAAAAAATTGGTTTTATTTTTGTGTTCTTCTTCCATTCATTTATACAACATTTGTTTAATGATATCCTCATGAGTCCTGGTATACAGCATTACATGCCTACATGGTGAGTGCATTTGAATAGTGAATGTGTTAAGCAATTTTCAAGTTCTGTATAGATATATGAAATTGCATCTACCCCATCTAGAGTTATAAAAGAAGTGGAAAAAGCTCACATCTTAATATCTTATAACCAAATTGTTCATATTTTCATACAGTTATATGACAGAGAGATTATGAGTTGTATTATATAATTGTCATGATCTACAATATATATATTCCTCCATCTAGGAATGTCATTATTATTATTTATTTCTTACAATTTCATCTCACCATAACTTCAATGCCAATGAGGTGAATAATGTTGTTGTTGGAATGAGTGGATTGGAAATGTTTAATTCTGTATTGGATCAAAGTAAGTCCTTATCAAAGATCATAGAGCACAACAATAAAAGTAGTAATTGTGTTTTACATCCAAGCAGCATATTTTAAACATTCCATCTTAGTTACAATAATATTGGCGGAAATAAGATTTTAATATTTTTTTGGATAAAATTAAAAAAATAATAATTAAATCTTATCCAAGATGTGACTTTTAAAAAAATTTTAGGTCAAATTTGAAAATTCAAAAAGTTGAGGAACCATATGCAAATTATGAAAAGATCGCCTTTGTTTTAATGAGGCAACCATCAAGGTAAGTCACCTGAATCAGGAGATATCTGTGAGAGCATTCTTGAACAGTCTGAGACCAGGGCATTTCAATGTGTCACTCGTTTAGAAGTCTGTAGAAGCCTGTCGTTTCCATGAATGATATCATGTCATGTGTTGAATGTTGCATCAAAGAAATGGAGAGAAACAACGAGAAAAGGTAGAGACGTCAAGGAGTGTGCATTTGGCGTTTCCGACTCATCGCAATAGTCACACAAGAGTCATTATACCTCTCTTGTCAAGGACATGGCGATTTTCAAGTGAAGGGCTATATCACTCTAAAGACGATGTTTTTACTTAAGGAGAAGCCCGAGATGATTAAGGTCAGGTATCTCACGATAGACACGACGTGTTCGTACAACATCATCATCAAGCGACCCTCCATCAACCTTATGAGGGCCACCATATCAATTCTCTATATATGCATGAAATATCCGTTGTTGAGTGTTCGTATTAGTGTTATCTAAGGGTGTAGCGGTGAAAAATTGAGATTAAACTATTGGTTAACTTAACTCACAAAAGCAAGAGTCGCCACCGCACTTTATTTTTTCCAAAGAAATGGGAAAAGAGCGAATAAAACCCACAAAAATTTTAAAATAAAACAAATAAAATAGAAAGACAAAGGGTAAGGGGGTTAGTTATGCAATGGGAAGGTATTAGCACCCAAAAAATCTATAGTACTCTATAAGAACCTCTTGAAAATATATGTTTGGCTTAAAAAAGGGATGTTTACAAAAGATTAGAGAGATGAGAAGAGAAATATTTTTTAAAATTTGGGTGTTTGACAAGACATCCTGAGTCTCGTGCCTACGTGCCTACAAAGTGCAATGTAGGATCAAAACCTCGTAGTTCGTGGTAAACATAACAAAAGAGTTTGTTTTGACTGATTTTAAATAGAAAGACAATTTTCATTTTCAGGAGAAAACTCAACTAATCACCCACAAGTATGTGAAAATATACATTTGCATCACTATTAAGAAGGGCTCTAACTTGGATAGAAATCAACAAGTATGCCACTAAATCTCTCAAGTGGAAAAGAATCAACATCATTTCAATCATTATTATGAGAATAGGAGAATCACATCTCAACTATGAAAATGACTCATGTCTAATCCTTGAGAAAGGGTTTTAAAAGGAAAAGTACATAAAGGGGTCAAAATAGTTTTAATGAGTGTATTTTAAATGTCTTTTGAAATGGTCTCGATATGTTTAAAATGAATTAGCATTTATTTAAGAAAAAAGTTTGAAAGTCACTTGACAAAGTCAAGGTTTGTTGAGAATGTGGTTCAAGTTTGAAAACAATAAGGTTTTAAAAAAAGGAAGAAGATTTTGAAAATTTAAAAAGGGGAGGAGATGAAGAGACTTAATAAAAGCAATAAAGTGAAAGTGTCTGCAAGTGTACTAATCAGAATCTAGCCAGCACTTAACAAAAGTCAAGACCAAAATCTCATTTCTCTGGAGAAATCCATAAGCAATAAGCAAATAAGCACAAGATGATCCAGACACATAAATTCACAAATAAAAAGATAAGGCATCCAAGCTTGATTCAAGGCCATAGGTATCAAAGGAACTCAAAGTCTCAAGCAAAGCATGGTATCAGATGGAATTCCAAGTTTCAGATAACCAAACTCCAAGCATGAGGAGCCTAATTCTAAGTCCATAGGTCCAAATCTCCTCAATGCACAGGATAATAACAATAGTCTAAGAAATTAAAGTTTTTTTTTGGAGTTTTTCCTTTATTAATGTCTTTTAAAAGAAAATAAAAGTTCAAGTGGATAAAGGAAACAAAAGCATAAACATAAACAATATGAAATGTAAATCCTAAAAGTAAAGGCATAATGTAAAGAGTAAGAAAGTAAAGGTGCAAGAAAAGTAAATGGCATAAAGTAAAAGTTAGCACAATAATATTGTTAGTATTAATGTTAGAGTTAATGATCCGATTTGGGATAAATTTAGCGCTATGTTAAGCAATCGCACAATTTATTAAGAATATTATACTATGAGAGGTCGATCAGTAACAATTTATATACCATACATGTTAGACATATGATAGAAATCATACTCCTAAAACAATGTAGCACAAGTAAAAAATCAAGGAGAGATCAAGCACTAAGGCCAGAAGATTGGTCCATTACATCAATCATCCTTCATGACAACTTAAGACAAACTTATGCATCAATGCAAAGTATCTCCAATGATCATTGATCAATTTAATGGTAGATTTAAAATGATGAAAATTCATCAAGCATCAATCCAAACACCATGAACAAGATGGACATCAAATCATCCAATCGATCAAAAGAAAAGAAAAAGAAAAAGAAGGAGAAGGAAAGATGAAGATAGAAACCAAATTGAATCAAGACTTGAGATCCATTTATCATCAATTTCAATTACCTTTCTTGGTGGATTAAGGTACTAAACATATCATCAACCCAGAGCACCAAAAATGAAACAATTATTCATTTAATGATAGATTTAAATTGATGAAGATTCATCAAACCTCATTAACACCCAAAGTCCATTGAAATTGAGGTAAATTTTGATCAAGAAACTATGATCCAAGGCAACAACTAGTAACCAAGCTAAAATGCAATATTAAACAATTAAAAATGCATGAAAAATATTTTTAAATGATTTTCAAATGAAAATAAAAGAGAAAATTAAGATGAAGCCTTTAAACAACAATTAAATGCTCAATAAAATTAAGGTAAGTAAGAAACAAGTCAAAGATCATATAACATTTTTTTGAGAATTTTAAAATATATAAAATTATTTTTTTAACAAATTAAAATGCATGAAAAGTGTGAAAAATATCAAATCTTGAAATAAAAATGTGAAAAAAATGCACATAAGATAGAAAATTATAGAAAAAAATTGGAGCGAAAAAGGTTAAGGGAATAATTTTTTATGAGTTTTCAAAATAAATGAGAAACTAAAAACAAATAAAATGAAATAAAAATGCCGCAAAATACCACAACCATCAGATCAGATCAAATGTTGGGATTCAAACACGCACGTAGCCATCATATCTCATTTAAAACAGATCTAAAGGTCAGGATCTAAAGAAACATGGTGGACTCTAAATGAAATAACACGTTGGATCAATTTCAAATTAAAACAACCTCAAGCCATCGTGAGAGCACTTTCGGTCGTCTTCTTCGGTGAGTTGCTCACCAGAGTTTTGCATTTTGCAAACCTAGGTCACAAAATCACCACCATTTTGACCATTTCATCAATGCGAAGTCAACCTCATGCTTCACTTCCATGGATTGAAAGTGAGCAGAGAGAATTTTAAAGAAAACTCAGTAAAAATGAAAACACAAAAAGAGAAATTATATGTCAAATATGCACAACCAACACAAGATAAGTTAGGGGAAAGGATCTAGAGGTATCAGACTACATTGTGGTAATTTGTTGGAGTCCAAAAGATGCTCAGAACTATTTTGTCCAAATGATGATCGAAGGTGCTGAAAGCTGGATATGGTTAGAGCACTTCAGTGAGTCTTAGAGCTTGGTTTTTGTTGAAAAAGCTTCATAGGAAACCGAAGGTGCTAATGGAATCAAGAAACAAGGTTTAAAGAGCTTAGAATTTAGAAACGAAATCTTAAAATTTCAGTGCAAATTGGAAGCTTGAGCAGAGGTTCTGGGGGCTTTCTAAGCTTTGAATTCAATGCAAATGATTACTCTATTTATAGCTGAGGTGAATGGATCTCATATGTGTGAAGAATCATTGCAAAACGTGTGAATCATGAGGAAGCAAAGTGTGATCATTCCTGGATGTGAAGTCAGCTAAAACACAATTCATTCCCTCCAATATTTGGTCGTTTTGCATCACAAATCATCACTTAACATTATCAAGTACTAATCACGTGCAAACGTTGACTTCAAATTGAGAATTGAGTGAAATTTTAAAATTGGTCATGACCAAAATTCAGTTCCATGGAGTCAACTTCAAACCATTAGGAAATTGTGTACACTTGACCTTTGATCCTCATTATTTTTTTTCAAATGACAACATCATATCATAGAGTACAATACAGAAATAAAGGTTCCATTTGGATGCTTGAGCAGAAAGTCATGAGCTTGCAAAGTTGGCACGATGACCTGTAATCAGAGGTTAAGAAAATTCTAAGTCTAAAATGACTTATAATGTCCTCAAACATTTCATGGCTTTTCAAGCATAATTGACCTT